AGGCCCCCATGGTAAGGGAGGGAGTGGGGCTGGGGCAGGTGCTGCACAGACCCCCACCGGGAAGAGCCCAGCACAGCCCTGGCCCCAGGCCACAGCAGCAGCCTGTCCTGCCCCTTGCACAGATCTGGGGTCATATGCCCCCCATGCCTCTCCAGGTGTGTGCAGCGACTCAGTCTCACGTCCTGCCCCCTTCCCCACCACAGGGGCCTCAATCTGCGCTGCGCCCCCCCACCCCCCCAGACCCCTTCCCTCACAGCACACTTACCAGCCAGACCTGGCTGCTTTCTCCTAGCCGCCTGCATGCTGTGCTGCAGCTGCACACGGCATTTAATCGGCCATATTAGTTCTGCATACCCCCTACAACCTTTTTAAGCACCCCTAGGGATATGCGTACCCCTGGTTGACAACCGCTGATTTAACCAATAAGCCCAGTGATAACCGGTTAGCTTACCAGTTATCATTTAGTACAGGATAGGATACAGTATGGCAGGGAACAGGGGGAAGGGAAGGGAAATCACACAGTGCCCCAGCAGGAACCAGAAGATGGCAAGGCAGGCAAGAGGGAGGAAGGGAAGACGAGAGGAAGTGGGGAGGGGCAATAAGGACCAGTAGCCTGAGACTAAAGAGGAAAACAGCAGGTGGCCTAATGACTCCTCAATTAAGCAGTTAGCCGCTCATTCACAGGTGCTCCCTCACTCCCAGGTTGGTGAGGAGGGGGTTTCCCATGGGCTGTGTTGTCTGACTGGGCTTGTCACCACCTCCTCCCCACCCACCCCACCAAAGGGCTCTAGGAGGGGCTCCCAGCACCAGCTATGTCCAAGCTGCTATGTTACTGGTTCACTGTTTAACCAATATAATTAGAAGAGGTTAAATGGATATTTTTTTTTAATGATATTTACATCCATAGTATATATCAGGGTTTACCTTCCATGCTAGCCATCAAATACAAAAAATACCAGCAAATGTTTCAAAAGATATCCTTTTCTCAGAAGACAGTACTGTGGCAGGGGGAGTCCAAACTAACAAGTTCCAAGAAGAAAGGAGAGAGAAATGGAAAGAATTGATCAAAGGAATAGATATGAACCATACTAGCAGGAAAGTGTGGTTAACCATTCACAAACTGAGTAATGATCCAAAGAAAGTACAGAAATACAACAGCACAGCCAACCAGGTGGCTCATCAGCTTATAGTTAACGATAAAGTTTCAAACAAACAAGCTAAAATACAGATTCAATGGCAAACTGATCTGAAGGAAAATCAATTTAGCATGCCATACACAATGGATGAATTTGATGCCAAAATAAGACACTTGAAAAAATGGCAAAACAGCTGAATTCTATGACATACGCACGGAGCAGATCAAGCACTCTGGTCCCATAACCAAGTTACAAGAATTACACCTTTTTAACAACTGCTCATCACCCTTAGAATAACTAAACTATGGGGACACGGCCATATAATAGTATAACAGCTCTATTAAAGGCAGGGAAGGATGCCTCTGGCTGAGAGAACTTGAGGCCAGTGTTAACTGTATGCTATCTTTATCAGCTTTATGAATGCCTTATTCCCAATCACCTTTCACCTCATATGGCATGACATCTAACACCAGAACAAACCAGATTTAGATCAGGCAAGTCCTGTACTGGCCAAATTCTAAATATCACCCAGCATGCAAAAGATGGATTTGAGATCGGTGTAAAAAACAGCACCTGTTATTATCCCTATCAGTGGCATACAGCACAATCAACCACTGAAACTTGCTTGCCAAAATCTGTGATATAACACATGACTATCATCTAGTGCAGCTCATCCAATCTCTTTGAAGACTAGATGTTTTTATGTAGAATTGTGCAAGAAACAGTGCTGCTGGAGATGACAGAAAACCGGTATACATACTAGCACCAATCCTTTTTAACATTAACAACAATCAACCCATACAAACCAATACAAGGAGCTTCACATATGCTGATGATTAGGGATCCTGGTTTTCTATTTGCCATGAAAAAATGAAGAAAAATGCAGAATTTCTCCTTTAAAGGAGAAAAACATCAGAAATGGCAGGTTTCCCCTTGCAACCTCACAGAGTTCCAGCCTGTAAGGTGCTGGGTGGGGGGGAGGCCCGAGCAGAAGGAGGTGATCAGGCAGAAGTCGTCAGTTGCATATGTGCATTCACACATGCACATGGCAGCCAGGCAGCATGGAAAACACCACCTGCAACTCCCCATAGGTATGTCTGGGTGAGAGGGGATTGAGGCTCCCATAGTGAGGGAGGGAGTTAGGTAGGGCTGAGGCTGGGGGCTCTGTCCAGCTGGGGCAGTGCATGAGGCCTGGGGCCAGGCAGCAGTGCCTAGGCAGGGAGCAGGACAAAGCTGTGGGGAGCTCATCTAAAGGGGAGGTGGCAGTGGGGTCAGCTCCCCACCTCTGCACACACCCCTAAGAGGGCATGGGGGCATGTGCCCCCCAGATTTGTGCATGGGGCAGAAGCAGACGCAGGCCCCTGCCCTTCCAGCAGCACCCAAGCCCTGGCTGCTTCCTGTGGGAGGTGGCAGGTGTTCCAGCTGAAGCAGAGCACAGAGGCTGGCTGCCCCTTGCCCACAGGCAGCATGGACAGAGCAGAGCCTGAGCAGGGGTGGATGCGGGCTGACAGCTGCAGGCTCAGGGCTCCCCGCCCTGCTGCCCTCCCCCTGGGGGCTTTCACAGCCCAGCAGGCAGGACCTGGCACAGCAGAGCGGAGCAGGGAAGTTTCCTGCTGCCAGAAGTCACACGCCACACACCACCACAGTGAAGCGCCCACTGCCTACCCAGCAGCAGCAGAGGGAACAACTCCTTGCCACCACCTCCAGTGCTGCCAGGTGGTGCCTCACCACCATGTTGGTGCAGGGCTCCAGGCAGCAGCACAGAGCCTCCCTGTCCTGCCCCGCCACGACAGGTCCTGTTCACTGGGCTGCAGAGGCCCCTTGGGGGAGGGCAGCAGGGTGGGGAGCCCCAAGCCCACAAAGAGCAGCCCATATCTGCTAACCCCCACAGGCTCCGCTCCAGCTGTGGGGGAGCCAGGCTCTGCATTCTGCTCTGGCCACAGCAGCCACCAACAGGCAATAGCTAGGGCTCAGGTGCTGCTGGTGGGGGCAGGGGACTGTAGACCCAAGTCCCTCACCCCACAGCCCTGGCAGCTGGGGGCCTGCTCTGGCAGGGCTGGGGGAGTGGGCTCTGGGTGGAGAGTGAGAAGCAACAAGGCCAGGGGGTTGTGGGTCAGGAATGAGGAGCACCAGCAGGGCTGCAGGGCTGTGGCTTGGGAGCAAGAAGCAATAACATGGGCAAGGCATCAGCATATCAGGGCTCCTCATTGCCACAAAGCAACGGGGGAGGATAGCCGCAGCTGAACCCACGTCTTGGTGGGTGAAGGGGGTGTGGGAGCTCTGATTTTCTAAAACCCAAAATCAAATGCCAAAATTTATAGGCTTTTAGAATTTATTTCATTATAGTGACTGAGGCACTGGTAGGTTTCCAACTTGTTTTAAAACTGTAAATATATCAGTAAAACATTGCGTTTAACTCATACCTACATAGTGGTGTTTCATTTTAATTGTGGAAAAACAGATTTGGGGGGATTCATCAGCAAATTTGTGATTTTTAAACATAGAAAACTAGGATTCCCACTGATGATCTATGTATCACATTGTTAGAGAAGGACTTTGCTGCTGCTGAGAACTGACTAACGTGTGCTGAGCAGCTTCTTACATTACTATAATAAGAAGAGCCAGCTTTGCGCAAACTCAAGACATAGGCCACAGGCTTTCACTTATGCCATAGAGAAATCAAGCAGAAATTAATAAATCACCTGGGATGGAATCCCACTGACTAATCACCTGAACCCTGTAAACTTCGGAGTTATATTGGACCAAACACTTACCTTCAAAGCACATGTATAGAAAATGAAAGGGAAAGTCAGTGCCTGCAATATCATACTTCAAAGGTTGGCCACCTAAAAGTAGGGAGTGAACCCAGCTACATTACAAACCACCACTACTGCCTTGTGTTACTGCACTGCAGAGTATGAATGTCCTGCATGGGAATGATCAGTTCTTGCCATGAAACTAGATTCACTTCTAAATGACATCTATTGTGAAATAACAGGGATCCCTATGAAGCTGCAATCAGCCTCAGATTCCCATCAGCAGGCCAGAATGGCCCAATTTGGGTCTAGGATGGACCAGTGCTAGGACTGGCTGCTGCCACTACTTCTCTGCGCCATTAGGCTGTGGTGCAGCACAGGAAAGCTCCCTGCGCCCACTGCCTGGGCACAGCAGCATGGTGCTGTCTGCCAAATGTCACCGAAGTCCTAGTTCCACGGGCCAGATCCAATGGTTCTGTAGGTGGGATTTGGCCCATGGGCCATAGGTTGCTGATCCCTGCTCTGAGGAATTTTTGGATGATAATTTTTGGTGCACCATAAATTTTGACAGCATAAACTGAATTTAATATTAAAATGAGCACCTCAAGGGCTACTGTGCCAAGGGCATTATCCACATTCATTTTGAATTTAATTTAAATATTTATTTTAGAAAAAAGTTAACTGAAACTGCCATAGAATTTATAGAATTTCGGTCAGAATGCCACAGAATATGAGGCCCTGCCAAAAGCAGTACCTTTTCAGAGAACAAGATAACTAACATCTGATAAAGGATAAAATCGGAGGAAATAACTAGTAGGTGAATGGAATCATAATCCCTTAATCTATCTTTTGGGCTCGATGTTCTGATCAGAACAAAGATGAGACATGCAAATAGATATCTACAAAGAGCATACCTAATTAAATAATTAAGAACACCACAGAGCTTGCCCAGAGCAGCAACACACTCACAGATGCCCCTTTCTCGTGCAACATGATATAAAAAAACCCAAAAAAGAAAAAAAACAAAACAAAACCTTCCTTTTTCTTCCTCCTCCCTCCCAGTGCTTCTCATCTTCTCATTTTTTCCCCTTTGGACTCCTCAGTGTGGAGTGGTCCTGAAGTGAAAGCCTCAGCAAAGTGACAATTCCAGCATTTCCACTTGATCCATTATTAGGATCGATCTAATTGTTCTCAGCAAAATTCTGTGGAACTTACTACCCTCTTTGCAACACAAAAACCCAGATTTGGAGAACTCTGTGCATGTTGCAAAGATGTTTTACTATACTTTATCCAGACAGAAAAGAAAAGTCTTGAGTCTTGGCAATTAACCATTAAATTATTTTTCTAATAAGGGTATTTTAATTTTTGTGCTCTACACTGAGACACCTGTGACTGGTACCTTTTAGAAACCCACACAAGTTAGTCATTTATACTAACACACATATATACTAACATTAAGGCCATATAGCAGGGTGGGCAATTATTTCCGGCAGAGGGCTGCTTACCAAATTTTGGAAAGCCGTCAAGGGCGGCATGGGTAGCCCCGTCCCTTGACAGAGCCCCTGGCAGCCTGGCTCCACGCTCCTGCCACCCTGCTCTGGGTCCTGCTGGCACTGGCCCTGGTGTACCAGTGCAGGCTCCAAGCTCCCACCCAGCTGTCACTGCTCCGCACACCCCCTAGCTGCCCCTTCCTCCACCTGCCACAGCCATTTCCCTGCTCCTCCCCTTGCCTGTTTCTTGCTGTACTAGAAACTAGAATCCACAACCCTCTTCTGCTTCCTTATTCAGGAGATATACCTTCCCCCAAACCCAAGGCAAATTTATCAGAGACCTGAACTACTACCAAACCAGATGCCTGCTGAGAAAAATGAAAGCCTTACAAACTAACCTATCCATACCATCCAGACCAATCTGGTACCAAGATAAAAATTAATTTCTAGACCACTGAGAAAGTAGCATGATGCTCACAGCAAGACCAAAACTGACCTCAGAGGTGGGGACAGCTTTTGTTCCCAGGCAAAAAATGACACATTTAGCAGCGGCAAAGGTGTGTAAAAGCCTATCCTCAAGTACACAGCTAACTAACAGAATTCTACTGAATCTTTCAGTTGAGCCAATTAACTAGAACTGTTTACTCCACCAGTCCAATAGGAACAAGGATTTGTGTATATTGTATCCCTGCTGAGCACAGAACTGCTGCCAAGCCTAAGAATGATGCTTGGGAGTGTGATCCATGCCGCATGCTGCCTAACTGCTGGGTTTTTGCATGTCTGGAGCAGTAGTGAGTAGGTAGAGCTCATTTCATCATCAGCAGCCCTGGACTCAGCACAGAGGCAGTATACAAATTACCTAAATATCCACAAAAAGCACAAGAAGGAGTAATCCTGGAAAGAGAACCAAGCATTTTCTTTCCCCCACTGCCACAGGCCAAATATCCTCACCTCTGAATGTACAGAAGTGCTCTTGGTAGATCTTGAAGATGGTGTCTAATGACAATGTATGAAAGAGTTAAGAATGATTTTTCTACCTATAAACACCAACAAGTGTTATTTCCACAATAAGCTGAAGTTCAGCTATTTATACTGAATAGAACTTATTACGACTTATTCTATTCAGTGACAGGTCAAAATTAATCAGAGAAATGATGACCTAGGCAATTTATTTCTCTCTCTAACTGTAAGAAAACTAAAATGTATGTGCTGGCATTACAAAAACAGAGGGAATCTGGTGTTATAAAAATAATTTTATTGCATAATAAACTCAATACAAAATCTCAGATGCAATGAGGTACAAAGATATATAGAATGACCTATTAGATATTTTCCCCATAAGCCATACCTATAATTCTATGATTTAAAGATGAAAAGAGTGCAATACATTAGTCATGTGAATATTCATGATTTTACTTACCATCAAGTAAACTGGGAGGAGGACTAACGAGGGTATCCAGTGTACAAGCACCTCTTGATGACATAATAGGTGGAAAACCAGGCACAAGACATGCAAAAATTAACACTTGCTCTTCTGAACAATTTGTCTGAAGTCCTTGAAGCCAAAGAAGATACAATCGGATTCCTTCACATCTTATCTAAAACAAGAAAATTTTGTGTAAAGTGATATTAAAATAAACCTGAAAATACAGTGATGATACAATTTTAAGAAATTTGAAAAATTATTTACCAGAAATATGGTGAGTGATTTCGCTCCCACCATCCCCAGACAATCAGAGAATAATAACTGCTAGTTTAACCATGTAAAACAGGCATTACGAACTTAAGGTCCATAAACCAGATCCAGCCCATGGAGCTAGGTATCTTTAGCAGCATTCTGGTAGCAGGGGGTTTCCCTGTGCTGCGGCTGGGAGGCAGGGTGCTTTGTCTGTGCTGTAGTCGGGTGGCAGGGGAAGTGGCCATGGTGGCTGGGTAGAAGGTGCTGGCCCAACTCAGACCTAAGATGAGCTGTCTTTGGGTTGCCACTCAAAAAGTTTACTGACTGCTAGTGTAGAGGGTATGCCGGCACCAGAGATAAGGATAAGGATGCAGTTTCATCTAGCCAAAGAAACGCTCCCTAGAGCAGGGGTCAAAAACCTACAGTCCACAGGCCAGATCCAGCCCACTACATGACTTCATCTGGCCTGCAAAACTGGGATATCAGTGGCAATGTGGTGGCAGGAGAAATTAGCAGCATATAGCAGTACAGGAAGTGGTGGCTGGATCACAAGCATGGTAGGAGAAGTGACAGCAGTGGGAGTGTTACAACCAGCAGCTCATCTGCAGACCCAGATGCATTATGTTGCATCTATAATGTGCCTAACCTCTGCCCTATAGGGCTGTCACAATTTGGATCAACCTTGATGCTGTTTCAGCTTGAACCAGGAGTCAAACAGCTATGGTAACTCCAGAAAATTATTCTGCATCTGCCAAATTTAGCTCAGTTGCATGCAAGGTTCAAAACCTTAAAGTTGATCCTTGAAGGAAATAGAGTGGTTGTACTTCCTGCATACAGCAACTGATGATATATCATACCACATCAGGTGTGAAATCCTGACCCTGATAGCAATCAATGGGAGTTTTGCCATTGACTTCAATTGGGTTTAGGATATTGCCATAGTAGTCCAGGTATTTCCTTGAAAAACTCTACTTAATGAAATTACTATTCATGTTATGATTTATTTTGTATAACCCAATGATACAGGACCCTCAGTAAACTTTTAACAAAGAAAGCTAATAAATATGGTAGAATTCTAATTTTTGGTATTTGAATGAGAAAAAGAACAATGCATTAACAACTACTGACAAAAACAAAACTTTGCATTAAAACTAACAGTGTAATGTGTCAACCTTCTGGCTAGGGATATCTGAAGATCTGTTAACCCATAGAAACTGATCTTTTCCAGAGGCAGAATTAACAAAATGTATTATAGCTGTAGCAAATCATCCCATAAATATTACAATAATGAAGTAAACTTGTAAACCTAAGGAAAAAAATTGCGAACTAAAAACAGAAATACCACTTACAGGAACTTTTGTAATAATCAGTATACAGTCATTTGAAAAATGATTACAGCAGATTTGGAATTTAGATTGACAGATGCATTAGATTGACAGACATTACTCTACAGAACCAGTTAAACTGAAGCAGCAAGAAACACTAAACATATCGTCTAAGAGAAATACCTTTATAGAGTTTCCAGTGTGCAAAAGCTTTTTCAAAATGGATCCTGAAATTGAAAAACAAAACAGAAAAATGCATTGGTAAAATATGTGAAGGTGCCTGCTTTTGTCAAACATGCATGTTGGCTGCAAAAGACCATCTGTGCTGTGCTGCTCATCATACTACTGTTGCAATGTGCTTATTTAAGAAATATCTTAGGAAAAAAATGTAAAACTAATATTATATATGCTATATGCTGATGCACAGATGTAAAATAAAATTCAGTACAGCTTTGCAGCTGACATGTTTGTTTTACTCAGATGCCTGCTCATTTTTAAAGGAAGTGGAAAATGGTTGCTCTAACCAATGAGATTTCTAATTTTATATTTAAGAAAAATATTTAAAACAACTAAATTAACATTTTCTACATACATTTTACATCATAATTTACCAATGCTGACAAAACCAGAGAGGAAAAGAGTGCATGTTCACACTGTGTGTAATGCCAATAAGCTTGCAGATGCATAAACTCATGCAAAAAAGAAAAGAAAATCTGTTGTAAAATAATTTAATACAGGGGTTTAACATTTGTGTCAACTGCATAGAGTATCTATTTCAACCCGTATGAGCCAAAATTAGAAGCAACTGTGAAAATTCTGGTTTAATAATGTAATATAAAAAACATTCCAAATTTGAAAATGTGAAATATTGTCAGCTAAACTCTCAAAATAATATTGTCAGTGTTAAACTCAAAGAGAAGTAACAAGTTCATAGCTTAGTATCAATAAACTACTTTAACCAGATACTTAGATTCTAGTGAACAAGAATTAGCCATTCTATAATACTAAATTAATCCTACTGCACTAATAAATTTACATATTTGCTGTATTAGTGCACATGACTTAGGTAATAGCCAATCCAAATCATCTGCATGAAAAAATGAATGTGTCGGCTAGTATTGCTGGCATACTAAGTAAGACTACCTAAAAATTTGGTTAATGATGATTATATTTCAGAAATCAAAATACGTTAGTTATAAAAAGGCTGAGTTCAGCCTAATTTGCAAAATACAAGTTTACAGGAAATTGTCATGAAGCAACCCAAGCAGATGTCTCCTTTTATTTTCATCTGTGTTAACTGGAAATTTGACAACAGCTCTTTCCTTGACCTTTCATTTCCACCCATTATTTCTGCTGTCATCATAAAATCATTGCTCAGCTAGAAAACACAGTAGTTGATTAAACAGCAAAATCAATGTCAGAAACCAAAATGAGAAGCAGTACTTAGAAAAGCACCATGGGTCCAAATTATTTCAATAAGCAGCATAGTACACATTCTCTCCACTTCAGTGGTATTCAGAATTAGAGCTTTTCATTTTCACAGGAGTAATGAATCTAATATACTCTAATTACCAGGAACATTATCAAACTAAATATTTTAAAGTTCCAATTCCATATTACAAACAACAGATTTTTAAAACTAAAAGAACTCTGAAAATTAATTTTATTTTGTGGCCTCTCTCTACTCTTCTATTTATTTTTCTAAACTGTAAATCAAGACATTTGTACCACTGTTTGTAATTTTTGCACTAAAATACACACTCTTGTTAAATCCCTAAACTGTGACAAGTGAGCCTGTTTCAAAAACTGTGAAGCTTCATAAGGCAAATAAGCCTCTATCTCATTCTATTATTGGCTTCTCAAGTTTCATGTGGGTATAAGACTAGCTTCTTGCACAACTGATATTAAGGCTTTACAGTTATTAAAGAAAGACAAAATTATATTAAAAGAATGTTAATGTTTCAAAATCTAGCGTTCAAAACTTAGGGAATGCCTTCATCCAAGTTGTCAATGAAATCTTGATTCAGCTTTGTATGCATAGACTATGATGCAATCTTTAACCACGTGATGACATTTTTGCTTTAGGATCTCATTCAGTACAGAGAATGGATAGTGCCCTGGGAATGAACTCAAGCTGTTGAGGGCACAAGACTTATTTGTAGAATATCTCTCCTAATTTTGGCACACACTGAAGACACTGGAAGGTAGTGAGGTAGGCTATTTGCGGGAAGAAAAAGGATGGTCTTGCAGTTAGGCTAGCTGAATGATGCCTAAATAACTGGACTCTATTGCTGTTGTCACAAATCCATTAACAGGGAACCCCCACAGCTCAGTTTCTCCCCACTGCACTGTCACTTGCCTCAAGGAACAGACCTGAGGTTGCCCTGAGATAGTGCCCTAACCCAGCAGATCTTAGCCTCAAGTGGTCTTCACTTGTGGGTTATGGAAGAAATTGCAGGTCCCCCTCTCCATGGAGAGAGTCAGCCTGTGTCATGGGATGGGGTCCCCAGGGATGGCCCAAGGATTGGCCCTAGGGCTCCTTGACGTGCCAATCCTACCCAACAAGCACCCACTTTCTCACTTGCCATGTCTTGCTGGTAATTTTGATATGGGGAGGCTGCCCTTGATCTTACTGTCTGGACACAGTCTTGCTGGACCCCACTAAACGCTGTGGGTTCTTAGACCCCTTGGCGTCCTGCTTCAAAATGGATGATTCACGGGACACTCTCAGCCTTATGGGCTAGATGCACGGCTCCAAAACCACCCCTTTACCACATCTCAAGCCTTGCAGATGGTACTGACGTTGTCTCTCCTGGGCCTTGATATAACTTGGCTCCATGTCCTCACTGGGCTCTCCGCAGCCCTGTCTCTGCGCCCACACTGGCGCTGGGCTCTCCGCAACTCTGCCTCTGTGCTGAGGTCTGCTCATCCCCTTATCACCGCGCCCTTCTCTGGCACTGGGGTACCCACACTGTCGTGGGCCCCCAATGAGGCCTCCTCCTTGCCCAGTAGCCTAAGCCCAATCCACCAGTCAAACAGCAACTAAAATCTGAGCCCCTGGGCTATAACACAATATAAGCAGTTCAGGGTGTGTTCTGTCCCTTTAAAACATCAAACTTCTCCCAGCACTAATTGCCTTATAAGCCAGGGTCTCTGGTGAGCTCCTGGAGCCCCTTAATTCTACCCGGAGTAGAACAGGCAGCCAAGCCTCTCTGGTGAGCTTCTTCCCCTTTGGCTGCTGACTGAGAACTCCCTGTCTAGTCCCAGCCTTGGGGTTTATATGTGCCCAGGGCCCTGCCTCTTCCCATCAGCTGACTGGGTGCAGGTACAGGCTAATTTACTTGTTAGCCTGTTGCCTTAGTAACCTGCACTTGTGGGCTTCTGTCTGGCTCTTAAGGCCCTCTCCCTAGGCAGCTTCTGCTCTTACAGGAGCAGGCACCTTAGTGCCCTGTGACAGCCTGGAATATCACTCACCCAGAAATCACTCTCTCCACCAGCAATCAGTTAGAAAAAAAAGCAGTAAAAGGATTTATTACATAGGACAAAAAGAATTATGCAAACAAAACAGACCACAGGTCTGGAGTCATGAAAGTACAGATTCTTACCTTCTCATCTACCTACGCCTAACCTTTCATGAGAATCCTTACCAGAGTCCTCTGAATATTTGTCTTTGAATCTCTGGCTATGCAGGGTTTACTAACCCAGTGTTTCCCAACCAGTGTGCCACAGCAGGTGTGGCACGGCACTTTGGGCTAGACTCATACCCCGACCTGCTGCTACTATGGACACAGACAAACAGGGAGCATGGCTCCAGCCAGGCAGAGGGTGTGGCTCCAGCCCAAAATGCCATCTGACTGGTCTTGTGCCACCCCTCCCTGTCAGTGCCCAGCTGGCCATGTGCCACCCCCTCTTCCCCGCTCCACGTCCAGTGTGCTGTGGTGCTTTTTTATTTAAGTAAATGTGCTGTGAGACAAAAAAGGCTGGAAAACACTGTACTAACCCCAGTTACTAGGTTAGTAATGACCAAATCAACACAAAGGCTGATTTCTAACAGGACTAGATCTTGAAAAGTTTCCAAAGCTAGCCCCTTAATCAGCATTATTCTAATCTTCCATGAGTCACCAGAATCCTCCACAAGGTTCTGGTTCCTTGGCTACTTGCACTTCCTCAGCCTTTTGGGCCATTACTCTCAGATCCTTTCCTATTGTGGAGCTGATTCCTCAATTGCAGCCAGACAATGCCCAGGGCTGCCCACCCTACCAGTGGCCCCTTGTTTCTGCTATTATGAGAAACAAAGTCCTGGCCCTGGAACACAATGGCAAGGGACAATTAGCAGTTCCGTCCACTCCATGGCTAGTGACAGACATTACACATAAACCAGTTTAAGTGATCAGAACCTAGTTTAAACCTGTAACAGAACAGATGTTCAGTGCACGTAAACCAGTTTGAAAATAGCTGAAACCGGTTTGAGATAAACTTGGTTGAATGTAGTATCAGACTTAACTGATTTGGGTCAAACTGGTTTATCCAATATTTGTCTCAGACCCTTTGCTGTTTTAAGTTAAACCAGACTCCCCCAGCATCCTGGCATGCTCTCAGGGCTGGGTGGGGCTCTCCACTCCACAGCAGGGCTGGCCCCTCCCCTCTGCTCCTGGCTGCAACTCCAGCAAGACTCTGGGCTGCTCCCCCTCACCACTCCCTGCTAAGCAGAAATTCCCCCCTCTTCTCTGCCTTGCCTTGAGGTGTCTGTGTATTAGCTAGCAGACCACATGCTGGCTATGGTCCTGCTGAATCAATAGGCAGAATCAACAGGTAGCTGGTAATGTCCCTCTGTTGTTTTCTTAATGGGGTGATAAACATTGTTATCAATTCCCTGCTGGGCTAATCA